TCAAATACTGAGGTCACTCTTGGTGCCAGTTCTGTCTTCGATTAATAGATAAGGTTCCCTCTGTATTTGCAGTGTTACCTAAACAATCTATTACTGTAGGGAATAACTACAGTATTACAAATACTAAGTTAAAGTTATTTTGTTAACGAAAGCCATTGGCAAATATTTAAGAATGGCCAAAGCATACGAATTGACAATAAAGAGCAGATACAAGATAGCAAAATTCTTTCTTGTAACTTCTAGTATGATAAAGTAAACACCATACAAAATAAAATTATTAAATTTCAAGTTAATTTTACTTAGAAGCAAGCCTTCAGGGTGCACTCTGTGAATGCTTAGGCTAGACTATGCTAATACAGCCAATTGCTGTCAAAACATGACAAGAACACTTTACGGAAAGCTTGGTTCTAGGAATAACATGTAGCCTGGGAAAACTCTGAGCAGTATCCACAGTAGTTGCTGTTGTATTGAAAACACAGTCCCTAATTTGTAGAAATCTGAAAGACTGTGAATCTGTGTCTCACAATTAGCACAATTGCAGCTGTGGAACACTGAAGATGTGTAATTAATATTAACATCTATCAAGTAATATTCAGGTCTAAAACATATAATTACAGTAGTCTCATCTATAAACTTAGGTGTATCTGCATGTGTGAAAAAATATATATGTATGTGTGAAAAAAGCTAATGCTAAGTTATCATCTTCCAGTCTCTAATCAATTAGAGAAAACAGAGACCCCAGCTCTAGGTGCATCATGTACTCAGGGAATTCAGGTGCATTTCTTGGCTACAAGCTATTAACTGCAGGTCTGTGATCTAGCTGAAGAGAATAGCACCACAGTTGCCAAAACACTTCCTTCTCCTCATCAGTTTCATGTATGCTTTGCCCTCTTTCCATGAAACGCTATTAATCCAGAAACTGTTTTTGTGGGGGTCCTGGGTCATTGATGACATGGTGAATGGGAGGAATGATAGGTGGTGCTGGATATCGTGTGCATAGCACTCACTTGAAGCTGTGCAATCTGAGCAATTTGCCCAGGGGCCACATGACATGAACAGGAGACATGTGATTACTGTGCAACTCCCTAAGTGAAGAGTTTGTAATGGAAGTACAGTTTTCCAATTATGTCTTGTTTAAGAGCAAGTCTTGGTAGTCCTTCAGCTTCAAGCAAGGCTCAGATGATTAACTCACATACCCCGTGTCCTTACTATCTCTCCCAGGCTAGCCACAGTGGAGTGGTTTGGGTACTACAGTGATCCTGGAGAGTGAAAATGAGGCTGAAAAGAAAATGTTTGCTGCTTGGCATCACTAAATGTCCTAAATTCAGATTCTGCTGCATCTAACATAGCTCTTTCAACAGTGATGAGTTTCTTAACATGCATGAAGGTCACAGCACCTTGCAAAGGTAGTATTGTGATTGCTCTTATTTAAAGATGAGGAGTCTGAGGCCCAAGGAGGAAAAATGTCTTTACTACTGGCCTTTAATTTGAGTTTGTTGAAAAATGGAAGTTCTAAGATGGATAATAGTCAGTTCAAGCTTTCACTGTAGCTAATGTACCTGTACTTGAATCATCTAGTGTCTACACTGTTTTGACCCTTGTACAGGTTGCAGGTTTCTCTAGGTCATTTCAGGAGAGAAGGCTGAACTTCAAGTTGCTACTCACTGTGGATCCATCCTCACATGTAATTGAGTTTGGACAGTATGGACATGCATGATCAGCACTAATCTGTCAACATGTTATCCTGTAAATTCCTGAAGTTATATCACCAACAACCACAAGTTCGACAAGTGTTTATCACCAGATATGGTGAGAGAATATAAAATAAAGAAGTTGCCTGAGCCCATCCTAGACTAAGAATGCATGGGTCCACCACGCATGAGAGAGTGGCACTCTGTGATGGACTGTGACAATGCAAAGAGCATATGCTGCCTTATTGGCAATGAGCATTCCTGTTGTATCATGGTCCATGGCCTGTGCGCCAGAGTCTAGCCACAGCTGCTGCTTTCAGTTAAATTCATGAGAGATCTTTGGGTGGTTGTACTGAGGAGAAAACACAGTCCTGTTAACTCATGTAATTGCAGGCAAAGGAAAGCTAGTGAAATATTTGTCAATGGTAGGGCAATGCCATCTAGTTACCAGTCTACCAGCTGTCAGGCTCCTGACTCACACATAATATGACCATTTTATATCATCTGCTTTGCAGCAAAATGTCCTTCTAGGTCTTATGGGCTTTTTTTGTAAATATCATCTTATTGCAGTGTTTCCTAAGAGCACCTTCGAGGTAGTTTTTTCAAGATATCAATGCTGCCTGGCCCTTGAGTGCACTCAGCAGTATGAAGGGCCATTCTTCAAAGCCATCCTGAGTGCAGGCTGAGGTCTGAGATGTCTCCAGAACTTGAGTCTGAGAAACATTTGTGGTGAAAAACAAGGTCAGACCTGCATGCCGTTGGGAACATTAGATATGTTTATCACTGGGTGGAGGAAGGGGGAGGGAACAGGTAGGGAATGTTTGGGGGTTTGCTGGTTTGTTGGGGATTTTTCTTCCTTTAGGTGGACAGTTTCTCTATGTAGTTCAGTAATTGCTTCACATGGCAAATAATTTCCCACCTTGCAGCAAAAGTATGCCTGGCAAGGCAATAAGTGTTTTAAGAGCAGCACTTCACAGAGTTGATTTTTGGCCAAAGTCAAGTCCCTCTGGGAACTGGTGATATTTTTTAGCAAGTTTGAAGCTACTTTGACTTTGAGGACCAAGGAAACCTCTTGCTATCTGCAAGAGCTGCATAAGTGACGTCATCGCATGTCACTTTTTCTTCCTCCTGGACACAGTTAAGATGAGCCCTTGAAGCTCTCAGACCCAAACTGGCCATGTTGCCATAGTAAAGTCAAAGGTTTACTATAAAGAACATGGGAATTACTTAAATCCAGAAACTGTTTGACTACTTCTCTTTACCTTTTCTTCAGGCCTAGAACTCCCATTTATTTTTGATATGTAGCATCAATATTCTTTGAAGAGATAATCTTTGGGACATTAATGAAAGAATTTCAAATTAGTAAGTATCAGAAGTAAATAAAAGTATTTTAGCAAAGCACATATTGATGGAAGTCAATTACAAGCTTTTGAAAAAAAGAAGAAGGTCTGTCAGTCACAGTGCCTTTATCTGGGAGAGTCACACCGGCTACTAAATATATACATGTCAGAGTCTACTGGTCACTATGAGTTACGACATGTAGTGTACTGCAAACTGTATTGTTCATGGCCAGTCTTTGAGAAGGAGCCAAGTTGTAGTCACACACACTATTTTAGAATCAAAATAAATTGTGATATTTTTCATATGTTCAGGAGAAAAACTCTCTGCTGTGTGAACAAGTTAGGATATTTAGACTGTCCTCTCTTGTTTGGGTTTTTTTAATCAAGCTTCCATATATTCAGTGAACAGTTTAGCTTCTCATCTGTCTTTTTTTTTCTTTTAAACTTATGCCAGGTGTTTAAGAAACAGGCAGCAGTGGCATTTCAGTAACCTGCTTCCAGCATTATTTGCATGCCTTTGTGTTTTTCCATGGTGATCAATGCTCAAACATAGTGGAACTTCAGCCTGTAAATTTTATGTGCAACTGTTAAATAAATTTTATTTTTAATTAGTCTGTTCCAGGAATTTTTGTCACTTTATAAATATTTATATTTTCAATATGTCTTCATTTAATTGAAAAGGTTCTTCACATTATTTTCAGATAATTGCAGGTAGCAGGCATAATGACATGTCAACACTGACCTTTAACCTTCTCTGTTTCTTTTACTTCATCCACATTGTGTTTGTCCATGTATATTATATTGTAGTTTGTATATGATTTTCCTGCATGGGCTGTTGGAACATACAGTGTTTTCTATACAAGCACCTTAATAAACTGCAAAGAAAGAAAATATGCTACTGCATACTAGCAAATGTCATGTAGATTGTCTTGGGTCGTGTAATCAGTGTGCATTGCTGCTAGAAATCCACACTGAAATAAAGTTTGATTTGTCCATAACTTTCTGGCACACAAATGCAAAGCATTTAATACAGTGTTCTGGTTTGTGCAAAGAAAGAGTATTGGGTTTGTGCTCGGTTATTCGGAACCTCTATGAACGTATCTCAAAATCATGTCTAAAACTGAGTGGGTTGAATATACATCCATGGCACTTCAGTGTGAAATAGATGACAAACATGTCTACTTTTAGCCTGAGTGAAGCCAAAACAGTGGGTCAGAAAGAAACTTGCAAAAAATTATGGTGGAGAACACTATAGATAATGAAATGTCCCGTGATAAAGCCCTAACACCGACAGATTATCTATCTCTGTCTGCTATAGAGAGGCTATTTAAGACACAGCATATTCTAATACGGAAGTTACCAGCTTATTTAAACCAGCATCAAGAAATATTTTAAGTTTCCTCTTACAAAAATATTGACCAAAGACCTTTAGAATTGATTAGCATGTGCAAAGCATTCATATTTCTAAGTAATCCTGCTGATTTAATGATTTTCATTTTTGCATGATAGTGGTTTTATTCCTATTGTTATATTGCAAAATTTTATTTTGCAAATAAGCCCTCTATAGTTGGTGAGTCAGCTTGCTAAGAGAGTCCTGTGTAACATGAAGGAGTAACACATCTGTACCTTACACTGATTAATTCAGCTTCATGTAAGTCACACTAAAAACTTTTTGCTGCAGCTGAAAGGTGATCAGCAAGATGCTATAGCTGAAAAATGCTGCCTGGTTTTGCTGAATTTTTTTTTACTTTTTAGAACTATGATGGTTGTTACATACTTCTAGAAGAGCCTTGTAGAAAAGGATTGTTCTTTTTGTTATTTGTCACTTTTGAAATAAAACTTGTTTTGCTATTAGTGCATATGAGTCCATATACAACAATATTAAAAGTATTAATTAAACTGAGTGTAGTATTCATGCAGCTCAGCCTTATCCTGAAACTTAATAACATGTATGATTTTGTTTTCACAGCTTATTCAAGTATTTGTCTGAAGGAATGAGTCTGAAGAACCAGCCTAACTGTGCTTTTGGCACTTCTGAAGGTGGACTGCAGGGCAGAGAGGACGTTGTGACCCTAACCTATCACCAGATTGAAGATCTGGCAGGTCAGCTGCAGCAAACTCGGTCAGAGCAAAAGGACACAGAACTGAAGCTCCAGAAAGCCCTGGAAGCTTTGCAGGAGGCCAGTGAAAAAGTTCAAAAGTAAGTCACTTGCCTTCCAAGAAAAATTGCAGTTGAAATCCAAATGAAACGTTGTTTCTGCTGGTATTTTGTCTATGACTGAAAGTGTAGCAGTACTCAGAAAAGATCCTTTAAGACCATTCCTTCATTGTCAGCTCATTACCTACTCAGCGTGAAGCTGATCATTTTAACAGTTTTATGCTATTAGGCAAGTTGGTGTGCCTGTCATTGCTGTTACAGAAATTGCTTTCTGCACGTGCAAGGCACAGCAAAAGTCTTTCCATCTCCTATGAATGGTTTTCACTGTCTTTTTCCCCGTGGCAATCCTATGGCAACAGAGTATTTGCCTTCATAATTGCATGGTAGAATATTAAGGTTCTCATTTTTGGTCTGCTACGTATCTGGCAGGTTTCATGCCATGGTAAATACCAATGGGGTTGTTTAGGGGTGACTTCACAATCTCACTGAGAGCCACAGGAAGTCTCTGAGCCAGTGAACAGAGATTGTATTCTCTTTCCCATCGTAAGATTCCCAATTAAAAGGTTACCAAACTCCAATGTCTGAAGTTCATCTCTACTGAAGTTTTATTGTCATGTTTGTTATTACTAGCACATAAGCTTTTGAAAGTGTCATTGCTGGGACATGAGCAAACGTGTAGGCAGAGACTCTTGACAGTCCAGCACTTCACATCTCTGCATTAGATTCATCAGCTGCAAAATACTCCTCTCTCACCCTTCCAAGGTGGTCGATGATGAACTGATGCAAATTGTCCCGTCTGTCCATATTTGTCTTCAACAAATGTCTGCAACATATTTACAGAGTAGCCAGAAATTGGCTTATAATATATTACAAGGACCTAACAAGAGTTATTCCTGTCTAAAAAAATGCATGCTGATTTCTTCTATCAAAAAAAATTCACATTCCTATATTTTTAATTCTTTTCCACTACATAAAATATAGTTAAGGTAGATATATGTGAAAATGCATATTTTAAGTCATGGCTTTAAAAATTCCAGTGGTTGTCTGATAATCATTCAAGTCTTTATTCTGAGCACTTAGATATATTTGAAGCTTCAGCAGGTGCATGCTTGATAAAAATAAACTTATGAAAAATAATTAAAGTATGGTAAAGAGAATATTGTTTCAGCCTTTCTCTACATTGTTTCAAGTTGTTACATTTAATTTTATTTATAAACATTGACTAACTATAGTGGAGGTTGGCTTTCAGCTGGCTTTTTCTTTTTGTAAGTGAAACAGTCTTGTTTAATCCTGTGTAACCAGGGTGGCTAGTAGAAGTGCAGCCACAACCTGAATTAAAGTAGTGGTGATGCACTGCTATAGTGAAAAGAATTTGTGCAATTTAACATGTTCAGCTACTTGGGAAAATTTTGGTCAGGTTAGTTTTCATTATTGCTAAGATCAGACGACTGAGCCTATAGCAAAATTAAACAATTGGGTGAAGTCTTTTGATGACAATAGCATGCCCTTTTTACCAAGAAACTGTGGAAATGCTCTGTGCGTCTTCCCAGCACCCAGAGTCATCCACCCCCATCTTATAATTCAACCTGCAAACAGATTAAGCAGCTGAGTTTGTGGAAAGTGTGTTTACTTTGAGCTAAGAACCCTTGTGTGACACTATAGAGATTCCTCTGACACCTCTGGGAGAGCTACACAGACAGTTCGTACTCATCAGCAGGGAAACCGGGCTGAGAATTCCCAATTTCTTTGTAACCTCAACTGCTTCATACAAATCAGTGTTTGGCAATTAGGCAGGAACTCATGTGTTAGCTTAGCATTTCATTTCGAAGATGTAGGATGTTCTACATTTCAAAAAGGAACTGACAATTTATAAATCTGTCAACAGGAAACACTTCTTGGTATTCGATATAATACCAAAAATTAATACAGTTGTATTAATTATTAGCACTGAATGCTTATTATAGTTTAAAATGTGACACTACAATTCGTAGTCTAAATAGAGTTCTAAAATACCTGTTTTCTTGACTTCTTTTGTATGCTCAGCTAAAATTGAATTCTGACATGCAAGGGAAGCAGTTCTATCCACCATATAAAGTTGTTTCTCAGTAATATTCAGTGTATAATAGCAGCAGTTAAAAATCGGAAGAAGAAAATAGTTATGTGCTTCATTAAGAAAGAACATAATTGGAATAATTAATACAATATTGAAAATGGATGTGCTTTGTACCTTCGTACAATGTAATTTACTGGTGTTCACTGTGTCTTCGCTAATCTGTTCTCTGACAACACTAAAGAATTTTTTAATATTCTTAAAAACTTCAGTGTTTGCATTCAGCATGATATGCAGAGCTTGAAACAGAGATGTAATTTCTCCCCAGCATTGCCATCGTGTCAGCCATGTGTGTACCCACCGGCAATTGTTGCTTTCTAAACATGAGATCCAAGTCAGAATAGTAGTCCTGTGTTTTCCACCAGGACAAAAAGCATCTAAAAAATTCCTGGATCCTATCCCACATGAAACAGCAGCTGTGAACTAGAAGGGGGGTATATTGGAATCTACTTAGAGTGAACTTAGACGTAGTAAAAATCTGTTCATACTGAAGTGGGGTGAACATCGCACATTGGCTCACTGCAGTATGAGATAAATTGCAACTGTATGCTCTTGCCTGTGAAGATGATTTGCCATCCTCACAGGGGTGGTAGTGTGAAACAGCAAATGTTGATGCTTAGAAAGTGACCACAGACTTAGCTGCATGTGCTTGAATCTATTTTGATGTTGAAACATTGTCAGGATACACAGTAGACCTTTAAGAGAGCACTATTCTAGTGCGTAAAGCAAGTACACATTTGAACTGTGGTGTATGTAAATAAATGCATGTACATGCACATATAACACAATAGATAGTTATTCAATAGGAAATTATGCTGATCTGCACGATAATATTTTTAACCAATATTCTGTAGATGGCTATAGTTTTCTACATTTAATTAATGTTTCTAATTAATTGTTACAAACAAAGAATTAGGACAGTGGTGCAGAATTCACCAGAAGTGTTGGCATAGTGCCCACTGCAAGTTTGTCCTGCCTGAGAAGCCAGGAGGCAGCTGGTGCAGCCCCAGCAGGCAAATGGGGCTGACCTGGAGAAAGTGGCTGGGAGAGCTTGTGAATTAATTAATACCTCTGCTAGCAGAGGAAGCAAGGCACTTTAAAACTGTCCTTCCTGCTGGAACCTCTGGGATTGAGGAGTGGTTGCTGATGTCAGTGAGATCAGAGGAGGTTATAATGTAATACCAAATCAATATTAGCCAATTATCAGTAAAGGTTGAGGCCACTTTTCATGTGTTTTTTCCAGGAAATGTTCTATTTTTCTGCAACAGTTTTGCAGCTGGGGTGAATTTTAATGCAATTTGTCTGTTGAGGGCTTCTATTTTTTTTCATAATTTAAGGATTCTAGCTCAGTAAAGCACAGCTCTCTGCATGTGAGCACAGCTATACTTGCACACTCCTATAGCTATGTGAGGTGGCAGAGGAGGGTGAGTGGGTAGAATTTCTATGTAATCCTCTAAAAATAAATAAAAATCCATAAAGTAAAGGTGCAATGCTAAGATATACAGGTATGAAAATAAGCAGAAATGGTGAGGAGCATGTTGCTTGTGTATTTTGTTGAGGTAGTTCTGTCTATGTATAAAGCAAATTTAAAAGTGATGTAAACCAGAAGTTATGGCTTCATTTGTCCTTAGCTATTTATTAAAGAGACCTTTTCTTTAGATTTTTTTTTCTTTCTTTTAAGGAGGAAGTCAGGAGAGTTACAGATTTGGGTAAAGTATTTCAGTGGATTGAATACATAAGAAAACTAAGTGGTCTTCTGGATGAATAATTTTATCAAAGGAAATTACTGTCATAAATGAAATTCTACCCTTAATACCATTTGCTTTACCTCTTAACGTCTGATTTTTTTTGCCACCTAAATTTCATTGTGACTGGAACACACCCTTTTTTTGAGCAGTCTTGAATTTCCCTCCAGCATTTCTGAATGTGCTCTCTCTGTTTTTGCAGTTGTTCACTGAGTTTCTTAGCCAATGCTGATAAATAAGTTGATCGATGACACAATAAAAAACAAACAGTTCTTATCAGCAGTCGACACAGTTGCAAAGAATGAAAAAAATTGAAAGAAATAAGAAGCAAGCATTTATTAAGTGGTTATAGTCCCCCTCTTCTGCAAGTAAAACTAATCTGCCTTCTGAGTATGGGAGCTGTATATGTTTCGCATCAAAGTCCAAGACGTTCTTCAGTGCTGGCTGGAGGGTCTAATCTTTCCCAGAATGATCTAAGCAGTGCAGTTCAACAGCAAGAATGAATATTTGAATAATCACACCACAATGTGAGGTGACCCTCCAACAGGGGACTGACCAGATACACATATGGATTTTGGGAAGACGCTCTGATGCTCTTTTTTAACACAGCTGTGAGAAGAATGTGGCTAAGACCCAGTAGTCTTTCTGGAGTATAGCTGGCAAAGGAAACCATGAGGAGAAGAGAATTTAACACATGGGTGTAAGAGAGTCCGCTTCATTGATGCGATCTGAGGGGAATGTCTAATGACTGGAAGAATCAAACTTGGCAATGAAAACACAAAGCTCTTTTCATCAATTCAAACGCAGACTCTAAAGCTGCAGATGGTTACCTCCAGCCTTGCCTATTCAGTGCGGGGCTGTATAAAATGGCACTTTGGTGAATACTAATAGATCAAAACAAAGATTTAATAACATAAAGATGTGGTGTTCATTTTTAAATGAGGATACAGGTCAGTGTCTCAGAAAAGAGTGAAATAAGTATCTTTATGTATGGGTCTAAAGTCTCTGGAGATTTTTAACTGCAAACATGGTATCTTTAGTGTGCAGATTGTATTCAGTACAGGAGAGCTATGCAGGGAACAGGCTAAAAGCAAGGTTTCTGAATTATTATACTAATTGAGCCTCTTTGCAACATGTAAATGTTGTTACCTAGTTATCTCCCTTTTAAAATCATACCTACATATATT